ATTCCCAATCATGCATCCATCCATTCATTCATTCATTCATTCATTCATTCATTCATTCATCGGCCTATCGGAGTCGAAGAGAATTGGATCAAATTGCTCAAAGCAAAGATCGTGAATGTCCGTCCCACGAAGTTTAGAACAGCGACTGCAGTGAACTGTCATCGCTCGGATCGACAGAACTGATCAATCGGAGGAAGGAAGACGGCATGTGGTGTTATCACATACTTTAACGTTTCCAAATTGGAATCTACTATCATGTTTGGACGAAATACTGGGAATCAAATCAAGTCAAGTCAAGTCAAGTCAAGTCTGGTGAAATGAGGTCAAGTCAAGTCAGGTCAAAGTAATTTTTATGCACGCGTGGGGTGAATTTTCAACGGTTGTGAATTTTCAACGATATAGGCAGATCAAGAATGACAGACGAAATGGGAATGGAAATCGCATTGTTATTCAGCTATTGAGGTCTCCCGATATCGAGACGTGGGAATAAGGCGATGGAAGTAGCGATTACTTTTATTGAGAGAACTCAAGGCGATTAAACAATATGTACAAAATAGGTAGGATATGGTTGGCTGAAGCGAAACTGATCGATCAATCGTAGTTCGTGTTCTGCTGGACACATGATTCCCGGTGGATTGTGATATGTCGGGAATACGAGCTTCTCATTGGTCGTTCAGAAACTGTAACGCGCCGATCCCTGCCTGCGTTGAGTTGTCACGGCGTGTTAGATCAGCACAACTCTCCTCGCTCCAAACAGCCTCGTCGATCTGACTTGCTATTCTGCTTGTGTTTTTGTACTGCTAGAGGTGCATTCTATGTAGCCGGTCTGTTGGCAGCACTGGACTACTTACTGATCGGAAGCATCAGTAGTCGGCACATTACCACCAGCGCACGAACCCTACTGCGCGCGTCCATGTTCCCAGTTCACATCGGTTTCAATAGAATCTGAGGGGTGCATTTGGTCGGTGTGACGCCGACGGACTGTCGCATAGGTCATATCCAATATCTCTGCCATGGCTTTGCTAAGCTTCCGTGTGCTCAGTGCGCGCTCGTGTTGGTAGCAGGTCACTTCCCCGTAAGTAGGCTCTATGGCTCCATTCTCTCTCTCTCTCTATATATATATACAGATATATATATATATATTTCTAAATATATGTATACACGGTGCAATGAGATCCGTAAACTCCTTGGACAGAACAGTTAGTTTGGTTCGACTTTCTTTGTTGATGACGTGCGTCACGTTCCTGTACTACTGCAGGAAGTTAGTTGTTCAACAGCACCGACGACGACGACGACACCGCTTTTAGGCTGGCAGATGCAACGGCGATTTTCACTGTGCTCACAGAAATCTCAACCGCACCGCTCGAGCAAGGATCACGTGGCACTGTTCGCAAATCGAGCCACTCAATGCTCTCCAACTACACCTTCCATTCCGTCGTATAGAATTGCGATCAATTGTCGGCCAATAACACTTGTGAGATGCCATCTTGACTGAAGGAAGCACTTTCGCAGGGCTCGTATCACAAAGGATGTAGTAAGAGTGTATTTGTAAGGAACGCCCACGGCCACTTTGAAGACAAATCGGTAAGTACTAGCACAAGGTAGCAACCAAGAAACGGTCCACAGAAATCACCGTGTCCAAGTTGCCACGGAATGTGTGTGACTCTCCGATCACGTTTTCCACTTCTTCGGTCTTCACTTCAA